ATATTTAATCAAGCTCTATTTATATTACTTTATCTAAAAATGAAATACTAATCTAACAAACAATAAAGTATAGAAGAAGAAACAAACATATGTTTGAAAAACATGTATAATATAGAAAATTTGAAACAATCTATTTGATTAAAACACGTATTATTTAATATTATTATGTTTGAAAAACATTTACTATATATATCATAAATATGTGATTACTATAATATATACCAATTTATAAGTGAAAATAAAATGTTTATATAACTAACTATAAACGAAAACAAACACCCGCGCAATTCTAGTTTATATTTAAATAAAGTTACATATTCAAACTCTATGTCTATAATAACTACTAATTTATTTTACAAATTATATTTTACAAATTATATTTATAAAGTTTTTAGATTTATAGTTATTTTCAAGTTTTTAATTTATATATATTTAGATCTAAAATTTTTCGGATTGAGTAGACTACATGTCTTTCAAAATATAGATTTATAGTTATTTTCAAGTGTTAACTGTTAACTGCTCTAATCTAGAAGTTTTCTCAAGGTTTACCCTATAGTCACAGTTCAAAACAAAGGGTTTTTACACTTTAGTCTTACTTAATATTGAAAATTAAAATGTACTTTATACAAACTCAAGATTGGAGATTTTATCAAACAGAAGAAATAAGATGAATTTAAAGTGGTCTCTTATATTTCTAAGGTCTTCTTGGTAACATTTTTTTTCCAGAATCATTTTTTTGAGTTTCAAAAAATGCTACCTTAGAAAACCTAACCAATAGCTTAATATTATAATAAAATATATAGCATTGTTAAAAGATTTTATAAAACAAATTTATAAAAAACATATCATAAATTTTACTAAGAATTTTAGTTCAAGCACCTTTGGTTGTCAAATGTATTTTTTATTTGAATTAATTTAAAATTCCTTGTAAAAATTACTTTGATGTAAAAATGATATATAACAAATAATAATGAAAACAAACATTTTATATTATTTTCAATTATATTATAAACTTAATTAAGAACTTTAAAATGTTTTCGTCTTGGTTAAAAATAAGAATAACATTTACTTTTTCTTAGAAAGTACAAAAGTATCTTGCATTTAAAAATATAATAATTCATATTTTCTTATTATCTTTTTGGGGGGGTCAAATTTTCTTATTATCTTTCTAATTGCTAGAACTAGAATTGCAATTTCTTATGACAAATATTTTAGACAAAACCCTAACGATGATTTTGAGTCTTACAAACAGGTTCAACGGAAAAAGGGCTAAAACAATTTAGAAGAAAGTAAAAAATAACATTCCATACATAATTAAAAGGATTAAAATAAAAATATCTAAACTAAAAAAATGTTAAAAGACAATTAAATAGAACAAATTCCCGCATGAAGCGCAATTTTTTTAAAAAAAAATAGAAAAAATAGAAAAATATATATAAGTTTTTAAAGTCTTGAGTTTAGTAAGCATTTAGTTTCTAAATCTTTTTAATGCAAAATTTTATAATATATATATCAATTTTGAAAAAAATTATAATTTTATTAAAAAATAGTTTTATTGAAAGATTCGTATAAAAAATATTTTTAGGTAAATAACACATGGTTTTATATGTTAAAAGTGAGATTTGCTAGTGAAAAAGTCAAAAGTGCCGGTAGATGTTACATCTTATATATTAAAACAGAAGTCATGACTTCACTTCATGTGTGATATTTTAAAATCTGGCTCTATTCCTAGAAAATACCAAATTTTACATAAATTCATTCTATCTTTGAATATCTTATATTTTTAGAGGCCTATCATTTTATTTGAAATACAAATGAATATATTTAAAATATTGTAACAAAATCTTTTAAAAATCTCTTTAGAATCTTTTTAAATTTACTTTCAAACATTAGTTAATTTTACCTTAAATTATCATAAAATATAATTAGAAATTAAAATTGAATTTAGTTTTTGTGTATAAATGAATATTAAATATTTTTATCATATTCACTCATAATAAAAAATGAAATTGATTAATTTCAAAATACATTCTACTAATATATATATATATATATTCAGTTATATTTTATAAAATTAAAAGAATAAAATTATATGATATT